GGTTGGCTCTACACAAAATTAATCCACCTCTTCTTGATGTGATCGCTTTTAGGAAATTTAAATAAAGACACCGATCTGTTTTGTACATAATCGCATCCAGGTAGTAGCCTATGCATTTCCTTGTCAAAGGCATAGCAAGCTAGTAAACTGTAGACTGTAGTAACTAATAGTACTGACAGTAACTCGCGATTGAGCTGCGAATGCAAATGTGCTCTATTGTTAGGGGAGAGATCAGCCCCTGTCTATGGATCAGCCAACGTGCGTCATCAAGTTGGGGCGTGTCCACGAGCTCTTGGGCTCCAGTGCGTCATCGAGCCCCGCCCAAAAAATCTGTAAAATAGCAAGGGTAAAAAACTGTTGAACGGTCTAACTCCGTATTTCAGTACTTCACAGTTCACAGTCTTTGTAATATATTTTAGCAATACATTTGTAACATTTATAATGTGTTTAGAATTTTTTTGTTGAATTACCTTTACAGGGAACTTTAAAGATTGTGCTGTTGCCTGTCTAAAGTCGCTTTCACACCGGACGCGTAACGGAAAAGCGAAACGAAAAAGCGAATAGTTCGTGTGAGAATAGTTCGCGTCAAAACCATTCACATCAGCCGCGACGCGAATTTGCGACGTTCAGAACTTCAACATTCCAAAACATTCGCGCCGAGAAAAGCAGACCTGATTTTCATCAGAAAACGTAGGCTACTCTACACTTATTATTATAGCCTAGGTGAATAAATATAGATTTTATATTAGATGTCTTTTTGCAGTGATGTTAACATGATGCTTTAATAGGCTTTATAAAAAAAAAATCCCAATCTCTAAATAGCACATTTTCAAATAAGCACATATAAGTCCATTAGGAAAGATAAAGATGAATGCGTTCTTACCGGATTCGATCAGTGCATTTTGAATTTATATTGTTTGTCTGATGATCTGGCAGCTTCGATAGGGCCTTCTTTTTAATTATGCACATGTCAGTAACTACTGGCAGGTGTAGCTCACTTTCACCAGTTCACTTTAGGTCCACAGTTGCCTGGTTCCTTGTCCACGCAGCATTCATCAGAGCAAACACTCTCTCCACGAAGAGTTTGTTTGTTTGTGATGGCTCCATTAACGTCTGTGCTGTGCATTTTCTATGTTTTCTTATTACATTTTTTTAAATTGTAGAATTGTTATTTAAAGGACGATTAAATAAAAGGATGCAGACAAAAAAAATGCGGTACAGTGCTATGACTTGCGGGACGTGGAACATAGCTTCTTCATCACCATCATTATCATCCAGTGTAGACAAGCTTTTCATTTTATTTAAAAGCAGAAAAGAAGGTTTGGGGCACCCACAGAGCTACCGGAGCTAGAAACATATGGCAGAAGGTGAGCTGTCCCATTCATCAGGGGCTACGTTTACATGCAATCAAATAAACACTTTTAGTAAACGGATTGAAGGCTCAAATGGACTGAAAAGCCTTGTAAACACGCGGTTGGGCTCGATACGAACGAACGAGCACAACGTCCCACAGATATTCATTCACAGACGACTCGACACACAAGCAATCGGAAGGTCCGTGTCATTGCTGCGGTCACGTCACCTTTGTTTCCTTGTATATGATTGGCTGAAGCCTTTCCCAGACAGCAAACTGACATTGAATCAACGTGGAAACGACGTCTCTCATGACATTGAAACAACGTTGATTTTGCTCATCGAATTAACGTTGAACCAACGTCAGACGCGTTATTCTTCAAAGCTAAATGAAAATCGAAAATTGGTTTGCTTTCATAACGTTGAAACAACGCGTTGATTTCAAGTTGATTTTCCGTTAGTTTTGAAAGAATGACGCGTCTGACGTTGGTTCAACGTTAATTCGATGAGCAAAACAATGTCAGATCAACGTTGTTTCGATGTCATATTTCCACGTTGATTCAATGTCAGTTTGCTATCTGGGTTTCTTTCGCCTCAAAAATCGACATCGAAGCGGAAAAAATAAAAGTCGTTTTTTCGCCGCAGCACATTCACGTTCAGTGTGGAAGCACTCATTATACAAACAGCTGATCAAAAAATCAAACCATCGCGCGAATTATTCGTCAAAATCGCGTTCAGTGTGAAAGGACCTTAGGTCAGTCCTTTAATTTCGGCTATGTAAGGATGACTACTTCCTGCTGTAACACAGACCGGTGTAACCTCCAAGATGTTCCAGGTATTGTACTTCAATCATCATGTAGGGTGAATTCTGATTGATTGGATTACTTTTTACAAGTCATTTCAATGGCAAAACCTCGCCCTGAATTCACCTTTTATGTAAACTCAACATTCATTTTACTTCCAAATGGCATTCAGCTTGTCTGTGGTGAACTGACTGAATAGAACCAATAAAGGAGTGTTTTGGAATTAGATATTTTGTTCAGACAATAAAATACTTGTTTTCCCAGAACCCGTCTTAAATGGAAAGAAATGTTACTACTGTGATGATAAGAGCTGCTCAAACACAGTGAGCTGTTCAGGGACTGAAGATCACTGCATTAAACAAACGTGAGAATCTGGAAACGGAAGAAGATTCAAGTCATTATCTTATAAACTCGGTTTAAACATTTGATCCAGATCACATATATACCAATGTCCAGCTTAGACTAAAACAGTCTTTGTTTTTTTTCTTTTCATCAGGGACATTTGGAGGCCAGACAGTAAGGCTGTGTGTCTAAATCTATTTGTGACTTGATAACATCAAATGTTAGGAACTTAACATGTTGTGAGGGGAACCTGTATAACCAACACATTCTCACCCCAAGGCGTCACCTTTGACCATGCTTCAATATTTGACACATTTGTTTTAGGCGCCCTTTAGCGTCACTTACATGACGCAATCCTACGGCGTCATCTAACTGACGCTAAAGGAAAGCGTCAGTTAGAGGACGCGGTTAGGTTTAGGTATGGGGTGGGGGTAGGGTACACGCGATCCTAGGGCGTCATATAAACGACGCTAAAGGGCGCCTAAAGCGTCAGATATTGAAGCATGGTCAAATGCTTCCCAAGGCGTCAGTTAGGTGGCGCCTTGGGGGTGAGAATGGGCTGGTGTAACGGGTCTCAGAGTGTCACCAAGAGCGTCCTGATCCTCTGCGGTTCTCTGATCTCATACTTCCTGATGCACTGAATACAGCAGATCTTCACATTCTACAATCAGACACTCTTTATATAGCTTGCATTCTCACTGTACTATTTTTGCTATATTTATGAAATAAAAATACTACATCACTGTTTTCCTGGGGTCATATTTAATAAAGTTTTCATGCTGTAAATAAGTTCAAATATTGTTTTGTTTCTTACAAAAATGAATAAATCAACTTTATGTTCAGAAAAAAAATGTATAACTATTTAATTATACTTTCCTCCCTTTGTTCCCTTTACTTATTTTGCACTGTTCTTTCCTTTTATCATTATCATTATGTTCACAATGCAGGTGACAATAAAGTACAAAAAACAATAACAGTGTTGGCACCTGTACCTGAGAGAAAATGAATGACTCAAAAGTACGAATAAAAGTTTTGCCTCTGATTGAAATTGCCTGATCAGGACTTCCCCAAATCATTTTTTTTTTTTTTTTTGTGGTTTGAATATGTTAGCCTTAGGTTATCTATAAGCAAGTGGGTTGAACTTGACATGGTCTGCCATACCTTTTTTTTTTTTTTTTTTTTTTTTGGAGGGTCTGGTCTGCCGGAAATATTGCGGGAAAAAATTGTGACCATTTTAGTGTATGCACCCTTTATTTTTAATCAGAAAAATGTGAAAAAATGTTTTTTTTTCCTTCAAATCCTTAGTAATTTGGGTAGGCTGTCAATAAATGCATTCCACATACACAGAACACTTGTGCTGACAACATCCACTGCGAAAAAATAACTCTTAAAACACATTTCTACATAATTTTGCATCAATTTAATGTAAAGGAATTGGCATTTTTTCACTTTTTTCAAATATTTTCATCTTTACTTCATTGGCAATCAATATTCACTTCATATATATAGAAATCAGATCGGACAATGAACTGGGAGTGTGTGTGATAGGCAGTGCGGTTGTGAGAAGTGAGTGAACCAGGCAGACCTGTAACAGTCAAAAGTCTCATTGTTCATGATTTCAGAGAAAATGGAAGTTATGGTTCAGTTTAAACAGGTTTTCATGTCCCAAGATGTGTAAGTGATATCCTGAACTGCTCATATTGTTATCGTTTAATGTTGCAACAATAAGGTTGAAAACACTTTACAATAAGGTTCATTAGTTAGCGTTAGTTACCAAACCGTATTAACAAACATCAACAAACCATGAGCGACATTCATTTGTTCATCTTTGTTAACGTTAGTTAATAAAAAAACTGTCATTCATTGTTTGTTCATGTTAGTTCACAGTGCACAAATGTTGACAAGATTTTAATAATGTATAGTCAATTTTGAAATGAACATTAACAAAGATTAATCAATGCTGCATAAGTTCAGTTCATTATTAGTTCAAGCTAATTAATGTATTTAACTAATGAACCTTATTTTAAAGTGTTACCAGTATATTTAAGTGAAAAGTTCTATTCTTGACAACTTGAAAACTACAGGTTTCTTAATAACTTCACATACTCACTGAATGTAGTTAATAGCTAAATCTTTATGTAAACTTTAGTATGTGTGATTTTTCTTTCTTCTGCAGAACACAAGAATATATTTTAAAGAATATTTACACCATTGAGCCCCATTGGCTTGCTTTTCATGGACACATACACACACATTCAAATTCATTCAAAAAAAGGATTTGAATGACATGAGGGTGAGTAAATGAAAACATCTTAATTTTTGGGTCAACTATCACATTAACTAGGTTGGTTTACTTTAAGTAGACCTTTAGTACACATTGAAGTTTTCATAGTTATTTGTCATTAACTGGCAAGTAAATGATGTAAGCTGAAGTTTCTTTTTTCATTTTCTCATGAAGATCCTCCCCTTTTGATAAACTATAAATGGCACTGAAACAGGTATTCGGACACGATATTTCACTCTCCTCCTGTTCAAAGATGGATCTGCAAATCTCAGTTTTTCTTCTGTTTATTCTCTTCACTGCAGGTACGAAGACAAATGATGTTTGTGATGTTCTTGATTAGAAATACAGATCATTAGATGTTCTCTCTCTCACTGTCTCTGTTTTATTCCGAAAGGACACTCTCTCAGCTGTTATAATTGCTCGAATCCGATGGGTTCTTGCTCAGATCAAATGTTAATAACATGTCCCATTGGATCTTCTCAGTGCACGAGTTCAAGAGTAGGGACACAATTTGGTAAGTCCAATATTTAAAAAAAAAAAAAAAAAACAATTATGATGATTGACTGATGGAGATGCTGCTCTTATTTACTTTTTTTTTAGAATTTACAATTTCAATCACAAACAGATATTTAATTTGTTTTCTCTCATATTGTCATGATTTATATTTAAAAAATAGTTTGAAATGAATATATATATATATAGTATATACTGTATATAAATCAATTTTCCAGTTTAACTGGTCTTTCCTGTCTCATTCTTTAGGGGGCGTTAGTTCTACAGGGAACATTAAAGATTGTGCTGTTGCCTGTATAAGTCAGTCCTTTAATTTTGGCTATGTAAGGATGACTACTTCCTGCTGTAACACAGACCGGTGTAATCTCCAAGATGTTCCAGGTATTGTACTTCAATCATCATGTAGGGTGAATTCTGATTGATTGGGTCACTTTTTACAAGTCATTTCAATGGCAATAACTCGCCCTGAATTCACCTCTTATGTAAACTCAACATTCATTTTACTTGCAAATGACATTCAGCTTGTCTGTACTGACTGAATCGATAAAGGAGTGTTGTGGCATTGATATTTTGTCAGAATAATACTTGTTTTAGAACCGTCATGAAAGACTGTGATGATGCTGAAATGAGTGAGTAGAAAATAAACAAACAATATGAATACAACACACAGAACATCGTCAGAAACAGAAGAAAAATTCTCAAAATCTGTATAAGAACTGAAATGACAGACAAAATGACTGTTCAAACTGAAGATCGCTGCATTAAACAAACAGGTGAGAATCTGGAAACCGATCAAGATTAAAGACATTATCTTATAAACTTGTTTTAAACATTTGTTACAGATCATATACCAATGTCCAGCTTAGATTGAATCAGTCTTGGTTTTCTTTATGTTCATCAGGGACTTCTGAAGGCCAGACAGTAAAAGGCTGTGTGTCTAAATCTGTTTGTGACTTCATAACATTAAGTGTTGGGAACTTCACATGTTGTGAGGGGAACCTGTGTAACGGGGCTCAGAGTGTCACCCAGAGCGTCCTGATCCTCTGCTTTTCTCTGCTCTCATACTTACTCCTGATGCACTGAATACAGCAGATCTTCACATTCTACAATCAGACACACTTTACTGAATATATAGCGTGTGTTTCCTCTGTACTATCCTTGGTGTTCCGATGTGATTTTTTTGGTTCCTGTGGTCATATTTAATAAAGATTTGCATGCTGTAAAGAAGTTCAAAAGTTCCAATATTTCATTTCTTACAAAAATAAATAAATCAAATTTATGTTCAGAAGAAAAATGTATAAAAGAAAAATATATATTGTTTCTCTTTTTGTTCCCTTTCCTGTTCTTTCCTTTTATCATTATCATTATGTTCACAATGCAGGTGACAATAAAGTACAAAAAACATACTCGGTTACTAGTGTAACCTCGGTTCTCTAAGGAGAGAACGTAAAGGAAAGCACGTGAGACACGCTGCTTCTCACCGAGGTCTCGACGACTGCCTGGAAATGCGGGGGGCCAGTTTGATTCATCAGAGATGGCCTGCCAGTCCTGGGCCCTTGTGGCTAGGGTTTGAACATATATTGGAGCTGGGTTGCCTAGCATAGGGGGGCCTAATTGTTTGGGTTGTTTTGACAAACCTGACTGAGAGAGTGACAAACGGGGAAAGGGTCCCCAAAATGGGGACCGATTAGCCTGGTGTTGTATGTTTGAAAGACTCTTTTTGTGCTTATTCTTTCCAGAGGAGCGTGTCTTATGACAGGCCTGGACTGGTTTGTGAACACTCATGTCTTGCTCTATCAGAGCTGCTTTTGAAGCAGTGCCTGTCTGTCGTGGCGCACGCTTCATAGCATGCACGCTGACTGCATTGGTAACTGGTTTGAGAACATTTCCAGACACCCGTGAGCAGGGGGCTTTAGGGGAAGCATTTATTTCTCGCTCTGTTTCAGCTGCTGTGAGAACAGCATTTGTCTGCAGTGATGGACACTTTACAGCGGGCCCATTGACTGCAGCTACAGTAGTTTGCTCTGTTTGTTGTGTTAATCGGTTCTCTGATAAAGTTAGTCTGCAGGGGGTGCGTGCTTATAACAGGTCCTTGCTGCAGTTAAAACATCACGGATACCTGAGCTAAGAAGGAACTGTGGTATGAGCATGAAAACATGTTTACAGCCTGGTGGCAGGGTCGGATCTACCGGGGTGGCATAGGGTGGCAAATGCCACCCTAAAAGAAAGCCTTGCCACCCCTGCTGCCACCCCAGTTGGCAGCAACAAATTAAAAGTTATGGCCAATATGACAATTTACGAGCGCGAATATCCAAAGTCCTACTGTGAGGCAGCGGTTTCTCTCGCGCAGTTCGCTTCGCTTTTGTCCAGTCTGGCCCCTCATACCCGACTGCAATGAACGCAGTGTGATGACGTCAGAGTGACGAATTTGTTTGGAAAACTGAGTGGCGCGAACTACTGTCTACGGGTGCGAAGCGATGAGCCAGAAGTCGTGAGGAAAGGAGACACAGGAGGAAAAAGGTAAAAACGGATTAACTATCTATCAAGAAATGAAATTATAATGAAAGCACAGTGCTAGCATAGTTGTGATGCTGATTTTGAGATTATAAAAATCAGGTTGAAGAACGTTACTATACATATAATGTTAGTTAGGTCTGACGTTTGTTCTGTGTAAAGTAAGTTAGGCCAAAAGCTAATATTGATTCAACGTCTGTCAAGGAAAACATTGTTGCCTAAAGATAATTTGAATGTTACAGAAATGAAGAGGAAAGGTAGCATATGCAGTTTTTTCTCACCAAAGAGAAAGGCGAGAGAAATAGAAAATGAACATCTGAGCAAGGTAGATGGAGAAGCTGAGGTGGAAGGAGAGAGAAAAGAGGTTGAAGGAGAGGAAGAAGACGAGGTGGAGAGAAAAGGGCAACAGAAATGTGACACAGATAGAATACAAGGCCAAGGCGACCAGGGACAGGAGGAGGTGGGAGAACACCCCAGCGGTGAAGATATGGAGGGAGAGCATCACCAAGATGAGGAGGGAAAAAAGCGAGAGGCAAGATATTGTGCAGGGCTCAGACAGTGAAAGGGAAAGGAGAGAGCCTGGGCCATCACCAACGATCTCCAGTCGACCTGGTCCACATGGTATGGAAATTGTTGCTGCACAGTATACTAAGTTATATATGAATAAGAACAACAAATGACAAAGACAGACATTTGTTATAATATTTAAGAGACATTGCTTAGACTTCAAATAAATATAAAAAATTCATGTTTGCTTAAATATGAATAATTAGGGAAAGTTGTGATGAGATGGGGATAGGATTTTTTATATTTTGTGTATTTTAGGTCTGTTGTTAAAAAAAATTAAACAAATGAACCAAAAAATACTCTCCCAGGCTAAAATGTTAGTGTGTTAACACAGTCTGATGGTTATAACCAAAGGTGTCAAAAGTATTCACATTCATTACTCGGGTAGAAGTATAGATACTAGGGTTTAAAAAGACTTCTGTAGAAGTTGAAGTATTAACTCAAGCTTGTTACTCAAGTAAAAGTGTAAAAGTGCTGGTTTCAAAACTACTTAAAGTATAAAGTAAAAGTAATGTAAGGATAAAAAGTCCATGGCCATAGTGACTATAATGTTATATTAAAATGTTAATGTTGATAAAAATGTGGGATGCACTAGGCTCCATGTTTCAGCCGCATATTTGCCCATTGAAAATTAATGCATTTTAGTACAATGTAAATACATTAAAGAACCATATATGTGTAATACCGATGGATTGCGTACAAATCAATAGAATGTAAGAATGTTATATTTTTTATACTTCTCATCCAACCACTATCAAATTCACTCTCTCCGGATGGTGTGATTTATCTAGATAGGGATTTGTTTTTGTTTTACACTAACAAGCCAGAATGAAAACAAGCCGAAATGAAATGGGAGTAACAAGGCTATTTTTAAAATGTAAGGACTAAGGAGTGGAAAGCACAGATAATTGAGTGGAAATGTAAGGAGCAGAAGTAAAAAGTCGGCTGAAAAATAATAACTCCAGTAAAGTAATACCCAAAAGTAGTACCCAAAATGTAACAAAGTATTTGTACTTCGATACTTGACACCTCTGGTTATAAATAATCGATGACAGTTCCTAATTGATTGTTTTTTACTAGTTGTAATATATTCTAGTTGTAATATTGTATAATTAATTTAGATGTAATTCAGTATGAATCTTTCTTCCCTACCATCTTCTAGACGTATCCAAGTCCAGGTGTGAGGTGCCAGTGCAGCCAATGCGCGAGAGTTTCCCTAAAACCCTCCAGGGAGGAGCCAGGAGAAGCTTCCGCAGCGACTGGTACAAATCTCATCCCTGGTTAGAATATTCGCAGTCGAAAGACGCAGCTTACTGTTTTGCTTGTCGGCATTTTTCCCTCCCCGATGCTCCAAGGACTGTTTTCACCTCATTTGGTTATCGTAATTGGAATCATAGGGTTATCGTAATTGGAAAAAGGCTACAATGAAAGACAGTGGTTTCTGTTCTCATGCCAGATCTGAAGGCCATGTAAATGCAATGTTCGCATGGACAGAGAACAAGAAAATTATGGATAAAAATACCTCAATGTTTGGACTAATGGATGAGCAGAAAAAGAAGCAGGTGGCTGAAAATCAATACTACATTAAAACATTAGCTGAAATTTTAGTTTTAACAGCCACAGAAAACATAGCACAGCGGGGTCACAGGGAGTCTCTCAAATCAGAAAAAAGAGGTGTTTTTCTGTCTATGTTAGACCTGCTGGGTAACCATAACCCCATCATTAAAAAAAAGACTTGAACAACAAGCTAAAAATGCAAAATACATGAGTAAAACAATACAGAATGAAATACTTGAGTGCTTGGCTGCAATGGTCAAAGAAGAAATCATCCAGGAAGTTAAAGCAAGCAAGCAGTTTTCAGTTATTGTTGACGAAACTAAAGATGTTCAGAAAAAAGAGCAAATGTCATTTGTTCTGAGATATTTTTACAACGGTGTGGTTCATGAAAGCTTTCTGGAGTTTGAAGTGGCAGAACACCTGGATGCTGCCGCCTTAAGTGACAAGATTATCTTCTTCCTTGAGAAGCATGGGCTGGAGTACAAGAAAAACCTTGTAGGCCAGGGCTATGATGGCGCAGCAGTGATGCGTGGGGCACATGCAGGTGTTCAGGCTAAAATAAAAGAAGTAGCCAAACATGCCTTTTATGTTCACTGTAGTGCACACTGCTTGAACTTAGTTATAGTAGACGCTGTAAAAAGTGTGGCAGATGCAGGAAACTTCTTCTCATTAATGGAACGACTGTACGTATTCTTGTCTGGGTCTTATGTACATAACAAATGGCTGGAAGTGCAGCGGGAGATGTTTGAT